CCCCTAAAAATGTGCAGGAGACAGAGGGAGCTCCAAGTCCCAGAGATCCAGGAGCGGCCCCAGAGCACAGGAACCCCAGGGAGACTGCGACCAGAAAAGCCCCCACCCCCCTCGAGAGGCGCAGAGGATCGCCCCGGGGGCCCACAACCAGCAGCCGGCAGAGTCCCGGGACCCAGCGACCAGGGACCCAGGGGCGACCAACCCCGCCAGGGACCCAGCAGAGTCCAGGGACCCAGACCCCACCAGGCAGCCACCGGGATTGGTCAGGCAGATGCCAAAAATCTTAAACCCCCTGACCCGAGAGCCACGACCCAGGCAGACCAGGGCACCGCACCCCACACCAGGTGTGGCAGGGAGAGGGAGACGAAGATCTATATCATCAAAAGAAGTCCCAAGAGAAGGGAGGAGTCAAAGGCCCCACCTGACATATACAGTCATACACAAACACAGTCACACACTCCCTCCCTCATGCTCACACATGCACATACAACCAAAGACTTACAAAAATGCACGCCGGACACCCACTCATGCTCCCCATACACACCCTATTCACTCTGGTCCTGGTACTGCTGCACATTGGGTACAACCATCACCGGTTCCCAGAGTTCAACCCTTTCTGCTGGGGTGCTGATGAGCAGGCTCCCCCGCCCAACGCTGAGCACAGCAACCCACCACCCCAGACCCCAACCAGACGGCCGGATCTCCCTCCTAGCCTCCAGCCCCAGGAGGCCTAGCAAAAACAGAGGTGTGCTAGATTTTGTGCAAATAATCACATGACTGTTGGGAGGGGTGGGGGCCTTTAGCAGCTGAGTTTCACTTCCTTGTTTCTACAAATTATGACGCTGATGGATGTCAGAACAGTTTCAAATCCTGTGTTCTGGAACACCAGCACATCATCAGGAAACTGAATGTTGCAAAATATATGAATTCTAGATCTAGTAGTAGTAGTAGTAGTACACATACATAGTACAACTACTCTATCACTACTTCTGTGCCTGTAACACACTAATCATGGAAAGACGCATTAGCACTTGACTTTTACTTCTGATTGTAATGAAAGCTAAATAGTCCGTGTCCTGTGTAAGTGATGGTGTTGTTTATCACAGCAGCAGGTTCTGGAGATGCCATCACAGAAAACGTGGATCTGAGCTTGGTATGAATAGGTCTGAAGTTGATCCACTCAGCCCAGCCCGATCACTTAAAGCAGGGGTGGGCAATTATTTTTTCCATGGGGCCACATGAGAAACAGAAAATATTGTGGAGGGCCAGGCCAAAAGGCTGAAGTCAATTATGCATAATATTAATGGTATTTCTTTATAAAAAGCAGTAAACACCATTGTTTTTTCAAGCTGGTAAGAGTAGACTACGTGTTATAAATGAGCAAAAAGGAAAAAGTGAGGTTGGCTTACAAAAATGTGATTTATTCAAATTTCCCAAGGCAATGGTAAACAAAGTGCGCATTTGGTTTTTGATAAACATTTGTGACTTATATTAGTTAACAGTTTCAGTCACATTCACTCCAAAACACATTCTGAGTTTCAAATATTGTTGGAAAGAGGTTCTTAGCATTCTACAGACACACAGAATTGCCTGTAAAATAAAATCACTGAACTGTGATCTTGAGAAAGAGGTTTTAAAAAAAGTGTCCCAGTTCACTGCTAGCTGCCTACATTTGTGGTCCAAACACCTTATTTTGTGTTTTTAAGCGATTTTTTTTCTTATTCAGTGAGAGAAATCTAGTCTCTGCTGGGCTTTAGCGAGTGCATCAAAGTCAGGTTGAATGTCTGAGGTGGAGATGCGAAGCACAGCTGACAAATGATCATCAGTGAGAGAGGATCTATACCTGGATTTTGTAAACTTCATCATTGAAAATGTTTGTTCACAAATGTAGGTAGAGCCGAAGAGAACCACCATCTTCTGAGCATGTCTCCTCAGGTTTGGAAAGTTCTCCTCTTTAAGAGAAGAGTAGAAATCCAGCAGAGATCCTGACTTAAAGTGCTCTGCCAGTACTGCATCAGACTGCAGGTCAATGAGCTCCAGCTGCACATCACTGGGTGCATTATCCACACTGCAGGTAAAGGGAGAGGAAATCGTGTGCATTTCATCCTCCATTGTTCTGAGATCTTCAAAACACCTTGAAAACTCACCATGTGATGCTCCTAACATGGATGAGTACCTGCTGAGGTGATCAGCTGATGGTGTGACTTCGTTCAGGGTTTGCATGCGAGTGAGAGTGTTGCTCTCCAGTTGACTTGAAACTGCAGCTTTCTCATGAAGGCCTTCACGAGGCTGTGCATTTCATGAACAAAAAGGCCCTCGCCTTGCAGTCTGGTGTTCAGTTCATTCATCAGTGCAGTCACATCAACAGCAAATGCAAAATCTGCCATCCAATCCTCATCTGAGAGCTCTGGAATGTCTTTGCCTTTCCTCTCGCAAAACTCTCGAATCTCTGCTTTCAAGTCCCAAACCCTCTTCAGCACTTTCCCCAGGCGGAGCCATCTGACAGCTGTGTGGAGTCCTCCAAAAGAGCCACAAACTGTCTGTGATTCATGGCCCGCGCCCTGATGAAGTTTATTATTTTGGTAACAACATCAGCAACATGGTTGATTTTTAGCACTGACTTGCACAACACATGTTGGGTGTATAATACAAAGCAAAAACACCAATTTTTGATCTGCATCGAATTCTGTCACTTTATCTTGCATGCGTTTCAAAAGTCCCACATTTTTCCCTGTAAGATTTGGACAACCGTCTGTTGTGACACCTGACAGTCTCTCCCATTTCAATCCCAGAGAGTCCATGCACGCATTTACCTCTGTAGAAAGATCACTCCCTGTCGTTGTCCCTTTCACCGACCGCATTGCTGCCAGCTCCTCTGTGAGCCTGAAGTCCGTTATCCCCCGGACATCACAGCTCTCGTCTAAGGCCAATGAGAAAAAGTCTAAACTTGCCACTTCACGTTGCAGCTGAAGCTGCAGGTTCCCCGCAATGTCCTCGGTCCTCCTGGACAGCGGGATTTGCTCAAATGCGCCTTTCTTTCAGGGCATATTAGTGCGGCAGAGTCCACCATGCACTCTTTGACAAACTCTCCCTCCGAAAACGGCTTGCTGTTTCTAGCTATTTTGTGGGATATCACAAAGCTGGTCCTGGTTGCTGCATCCCTGGATGTGTGAAGCTTAGTAAAACAGCCTTGCTGCTTTTGCAACTTTGCTAGCAAAGCTTCGGATGTCCGTGCCCTCTCAGCATCAGATGAGTTCTTGTATTTTTCCGAGTGTTTCTTGTCGTAATGCCGACTCAAACTGTAGTTCTTAAACACGGCAATCTCCTCCCCGCAAACCAAACACACGGCTTTGCCTCCGACTTCAGTAAAAAAATACTTAGCAGTCCAATTTTTGTTGAAAATCCTGCATTCGGCATCTTTCTTTTTTTTTTTTTTTTTTTTTTTTTTTTGCATGAGCGGACATTTCTGGGGTCTACAATCACCATGTCAACCGCGGGCACCTGTTGCTATACGTATTGCGTCATTGTGTACATAAAAACAACTTCAAAATAAAAGCAATGCAGCCTAGTCCATGCATGAGGTAAAATGAGAAAATACATTTATTTTGTAATTTCCAATTAACCTTACTCGGGCCAGTCAAAGTCAAGTATGTGGCCCGCGGGCCGTAAAATGCCCAGGTTTGACTTAAAGGGACTTTATGGAGTTTTGAATTTTTATGCTCGCGATTGCCCCCACAGGCCAAAAGCGTAATGGCAGCTTCAATAGTAGGCTCGTGCACGAGGGGCGCATGCTGTACGTGCACACTCCTTAACGAAAATAACAGCTGAGACAGTCCCTTGTGTGTGTGTGTGTGTGTGTGTGTGTGTGTGTGTGTGTGTGTGTGTGTGTGTGTGTGTGTGTGTGTGTGTGTGTGTGTGTGTGTGTGTGTGTGTGTGTGTGTGTGTGTGTGTGTGTGGGGCCTGGAGGACAGAGGACAGGAGAACGCGCAGCTAATTAATTAAATAATTTGGTTCTGTACCTTTCTCTTCAGCACAGCCGACAAAGTGAAAAGTTGAACCCGCATCTTTTTTATCTGTGAATTCAATGCCGTTCGGCGAGTCTCAAATAAAAATTTGGGAATCTTACTGTAAAAAAAAATACCATTAATGTAAAAAAGAAACTCTGAATAAACTACGTTGACACACAGAATTGAACCCAGGTCTCCTGCACAAGAATCCGACATCTTACTAGGTGAGCTAAAGCACCAGTGATGTCCTTAGTATCTGTAACATTTATATCCTTGATGACAGTTGAAACAACGTTCAAAGAACGGTTCAGAGTGAAAATGGCTATTTTGTTGCTAATTAGCAGGAAATATCTAGAAGAAAGTTCTACAGAAAGTAGCTAAGGGTCCTCAGAAATGTAGCTAGCTTTGTCACTAGGCGTTAGGAACAGCGACAAAGTGGCACTGCCTCTCTCTCTGCTGCTAAAGCTACGGATAGCAAATGCTACGGGCGATGCCTGAGCGTGAACGCGCATGAAGCAGCCTGCTCGACCCGAGCATCTCTCTTTTTCTGTGATTTTACAGAAAAACAGGCAATCACAGTAAAAATGCCAGGGCTCATTCTACAGGACCAGGGCATTGCAGGAGAATGTATGAAGAAGACATTTATTATTTCTATACATGTTTTGGCTGTCAAACTTCCATAATGCCCCTTTAATAAACCAGCAAGACCAAATAAGGAAACGTAAAATCATCAGGATATTAGGAAGTGAGCATAACCATTACAACACAAACAAAATCCTTTGCTTTTATCTGAGCTGGCCGGGGTAATTATGCTAATCCTAACTCCAACCCTTCCAATCAAACACATTTGCTTTGTTTTTCCCATGCTTGTACTTCTAGTGATGATCGGTATTTCATCCATAATGGGATTGTTAGTGGGAGGAGCTCACCCTGTGTGGACATTATTGTTGTAAAGTGGAGGCTGATCTAATGTTTTCTATGTGATTGCCCTAGGCTTCGTAGAAACAGCGAGAAGCTATCGTACCCAGAGAAGCAGAGGAAATGTCTGGACAAGAAGGCTGCCTCTTCGGCAAACCTTCTCGCCCGCTCCCCCAGCCTGGAAAAGTGAGCTTCTCTTCATCACCCACAGCTATTAGCATCCTGTCATGCTCATTTTTCCTTTTGGCTGCTGCAGTCACACATATCTCAACAAAGAGATCGCTGTTGAAGCTCCAGTCACCCTTGTGAACATTAGTTAAATTCATGTCCCGTGAAAGCCTACTGTCGGACTCCTGCTTTCTCATTAAAAGGAAGGCTACTGTTTTTCAAACATCTGTGTTGTGTTCCCACAGCCGTGCAAAGGAGCTGATCACCAGTGCAGGTAAGATCACCAAGTGTTTTGTTAGGGGAGTTGGTGGAGGGTTAGACTCATAGACTCACTTTAAATGATTTCATTCAATTCAGTTCAATTCAAGTTTATTTATAAAGCGCCAAATCACAACAAGAGACCTTCACACAGTAAACGTTCCAATGCAGGTCAGGTCATTAAGCCAATCACTAAAAAGTTCCCTATACAAGGAACCCAGGAGGTTGCATCGAGTCACTGACTAGTGTCAGAGTCTTTACAGCAAACCTCTGTTTAGTTGTTGTTCTTAGTTACTCATAGAGGAGATTAGTTGATGCTTGACATTTTTGTTCACAAAACACAGTAAACAGGACAAAGTACACTAACCGACCACTTCAGTGGCAACTGGGTAGGACCTAGTCTAGAAATCTAGATTTTGCCCAGCAGGTCATTCTAGCCACACTCCTGGGCAGCCTTGGTAGGTCTTCCATTAGCCTGAAGAGGTTTGTGTGTTATACAATTGTTGGGTGGGTTTGGCACCAGAGCGGTGACAGAGGAAAGCAATGGCATCGGCTTAGGAACGGCACTTGTTTGAAATGGCTTTATCAATTTTGAATGATTTAGACTTGGGCCTTTCTTTGAGACATGAGCAGATAGGAGTACTTCACCGTCAGGCGTCATTAGGAACGTTTTTGTCCATTTGGGCAGATTTTAGCATTGTTTGTGCGTGTGGTGCAAATTTTTGTTGCAAAAACTCTCTCTCGACAAATATTGAAATTCGATTTGGAATTTTGAAAAAGTTAAAGTTAAAGTCCCATTAGTTGTCACACACACTGGTGTGTGTGCGAAATTTGTTCTCCGCATTTGACCCATCCCCTGGGGGAGCGGTGAGCTGCAGACACAGCCGCGCTCGAGAACCATTTGGTGGTTTAACCCTCCAATCCAACCCCTTAATGCTGAGTGTCAAGCAGGGAGGCATTGGGTCCCATTTTTTCAAAGTCTTTGGTATGACCCGACCAAGGGACACTATGAAAACAAAAACACTACCCTCTTGTGACCCTAGACAACAAAAACATCCCATTGACCTCCATTCAAACCCAGTTTTTGATCCTGTAACATCTGCCATAGTGATGCATTCTGTCATATTAGGCTTTCATTTTGGAGAAAAGTAGTCAAATTTGTGATTTTCACTGTTCACCACCGAATAGAAGTCAAAAGGTCAACTAGACCTCAGACAAGTGAATAAAACACAGTTTCACTCTCTTACTGAACTTTAAAGTGTAGAAAACCAAAACATTTAGTGTGTTTATGCACCTGGCCGGAGCCAAGGCAACATCTATACAACAACCTTTGTGGTTGGCACAGTTTCAGTCAGGTCGATTGGCCCTTTGTGATCCCAGTCACCCCATTTCATGTCACATTAACGCCTCTTTTAAGTTTCAGTCCCACCCATTTCATGTCCTAATAAGGCCTCTTTAGAACCTCGATAGGCCTGTTTCAACCATCGGAGCTTCGGGATAATTTACCATATTCTGGGCCATTTCATGAGCCAACCAAGAACCTAAACTGGGGTCTGTACTTAGACAGGCACAGTAGAGTCACTGAGTGGGACTTATGGTAACATTGTCGTCGTCGTCTTCCTCCGCTTATCCAGGTCCGGGTTGCGGGGGCAGCATCCCAACTAGGGAGCTCCAGACCGTCCTCTCCCCGGCCAACTCCACCAGCTCCTCCGGCAGGACCCCAAGGCGTTCCCGGAGCAGATTAGAGATGTAACCTCTCCAACGTGTCCTGGGTCGACCCGGGGGCCTCCTGCTGGCAGGACATGCCCGAAACACCTCCCCAGGGAGGCGTCCCGGAGGTATCCTGACCAGATGCCCAGACCACCTCAACTGGCTCCTTTCGATCCAGAGTAGCGGTTCTACTCCGAGTCCCTCCCGAATGTCCGAGCTCCTCACCCTATCTCTAAGGCTGAGCCCGGCCACCCTACGGAGGAAACTCATTTCGGCCGCTTGTATCCGCGATCTCGTTCTTTCGGTCATTACCCAAAGCTCATGACCACAGGTGAGGATTGGGACGTAGATCGACCGGTAAATCGAGAGCCTGGCTTTCTGGCTCAGCTCCCTCTTCACCACGACAGATCGGCTCAGCGTCTGCATCACTGCAGACGCCGAACCAATCCGCCTGTCGATCTCCCGATCCCTCCTACCCTCACTCGTGAACAAGACCCCGAGATACTTAAACTCCTCCCCTTGAGGTAGGACCTCTCTCCCGACCCGGAGTTGGCAGGCCACCCTTTTCCGGTCGAGAACCATGGTCTCAGATTTGGAGGTGCTGATCCTCATCCCAGCCGCTTCACACTCTGCCGCAAACCTACCCAGCAAGAGCTGAAGGTCAGAGCTGGATGAAGCTAGGAGGACCACATCACCCGCAAAAAGCAGAGACGAGATTCTCCTGCCACCAAACTCGACACACTCCACACCACGGCTGCACCTAGAAATTCTGTCCACAAAGGTAAATGAACAGAACCGTGGCAAAGGGTAACAGTGTTTTAATTGGTATCTCAGTAGGAAACGATGTAGGGAGCATAAGCTCCTCCTACTGGTCCCAAGAACAAAGAAAAAATGAATAATTGAACGTGGCTTTAAAAGCTTACGCCCTAAATCACACATAAGTATGTTCTACTAGAATTAAATGAAAAGTAACAACGCATGTTTCGACTATGTCTGTCACATGCTTTGAGATTTATTAGCTTGTAAAAACTTGTAATTAGAAAGACTACAAATCAAACATCGCCAATGTCTTCTCCCTCAGTGTAGCTGCTATTTAGCACACGGCCAGATTTCTAGTGGTCGTCTCCATGTTTAATTCTTCTTCATTCGTCCTGGAAGAAAGATTAGGAGCTCGATGAACTTGACTCTCTGGTTTGGTGCTGATAATCCTACGCGTCTTTTCACACAAAGCCTAAAATAGCTTCCTGAAAATTAGCGCTTTCTTGGCATCAAAATGTGTCTTTAAAATTGCTGGACACCAATGGCTCATATTAAACTGGATTAGAAAATAGCTTTTTAGCCTCCTTGACTTGTATTCATTTTTTCTTGTTTCCGGTAGCCTCTGGGAGTAGATGGGCGTGACTTTAGGCTCCTTCTTGGCAGACGCCAAACAACTGGCATTTGTTGAGTTACCGGTGAAGCAGAAAGGAGAAGAAAATAAGTCTCAACTCTCTTTCTGGTCGTAATTGTTCTGTCCTCAATTTGGCCCCTATCACGTTTTAAGCTAACCCCTTTCTTGTGTCAGTCTTTCTCCTTTAAGGCCTGAATCTTTCTGGGTTTTAGTTGCACGTACATCTGGGTAAGCCGGGTTTGTCAGCCCGTCCCCTCAGAGCGAGGTTTTCTTCACAGAGCCTTCTCTGGAACGCAGGTGTCGCTGAGCATGTGGGCGGGGCAAACGGTGCCCAGAGAAGTCTTTGGTGTCCTCTTGAATTAATGAAAGAAAGCAGCCGTGAGCAGAGTTGCTTTTAGAGACAGCTTGCTACTGTCTCACTGAGCAGCAGTGCTGCCTTGGGCTCCTTTCGCAGCAGACAGTCAGTCCCGTGGCCCGTCTCACCTCACAGTGGAGAGTAGTTGCCTCGCCTGTACAGTCAAGATCCCTTTAGAAGCATCTTCATTGTCTACTTGTTAATTGAAATGTCATGATTAGACTTCATCTCCTATGTTCTGAATCAATGTATTCTTGAATTGCAACAGCTACATTTGGATCACCGTTAATGTTCATGTTTGGGAAAAATGCACTACAGGGAGAATAACATGGGGTTTCAAAGAAGAACAACGCCGTCAGCCAATCGGGATGTCTCCTGTTGTTGACTGGTGCCTACCCTTTCCAGCTGCTAAATGTAGCTGTGCTTCACATTTTGTTTTTGTGTTTCAAAGTTTGTTGTGTTTAGTGATTTGTTGGTGTGGTTTGAACTTCAGGGCCACCGTAGCACTTGTTACTTTAAACTAGATATTTTTACAAATGTCCTATTTGTTTTTAAAATTCTTATTTACTACGTTTTTCATAAAATTAGCTGTGGTCTCTTGATTGAATGCCTTGTAAGTTGTTTTCTGTGGGGGGAAACTCAAGATTCATTTCAGGGGTTAGAAGTTTGTTGGAGGAGTGGGGGGAGGAAACGTCTGGATTCTGAGTCTCACTCAAAAATATTCATCATAAGCGAACATCCCACCTTTGACTGGCTAACAGCAATGTGACTCTTCCACTTTTATCGTTCATTCTTGAGTAAAAATAAACGAAACGTTGATGTGTTACCTTCACAAATAAAATTAAGCTGATTGTGCTCTACAACATTGTGGAGCTGTTGGTGGCTAGCTTCTACCAGCCAGGAGTTCTGCTTTATCCTGGCCATAGAGCCTTCCGTGGTCACATGGGTGATAATGTAAATTTACTCTGTGACCTAGGAGAGACCGTTTGTTTTTCTGACCTGATCATTTTCCATTCTATTTCCTTTTTGCAGCTAAAGCAGGCTTTAGGGGACGAAGAACAATTTCACGTTCAACATGCTTGTGAAACTCGGCATGACCACGATTTCAAAAAGGTTTCTCAACGAACAAGACCATTACATTTATTTCTAGAGCTTTAATCCTACATGTCTTCTGCATTGGAAAAACCTGTAAGTTTGTGTGAATTCAGAAAAAAAATATTATCACAGATGTTAAAGGAGGTGAGTTTTGGTTTGCTGGTTCTTGACTTCACAAGCCTTATGGCTCTAAAACATTCCTGGGAGACCAGACTAACACCAGAACTGGGATATGCTCATTAGCTGATATGAGAAGACTAGGGGTTAACTTAACTTTACACAAGTTGCAGAAATATAAGAGATTATTTTTCATCGGCCTGAGAATGATGTCATATAACACAAAACCAATGAATTGCTAACTGCAGAAGTAATACAGAAGTAAGCTCTGACTGGTATTTGTGCGCTCTTTGTGACTTGCTGGCCCCTGTGGGCCATTCTGGGATCAGATCCACTGTGGTTAGATGAGCTGCCTCGCTACTCCAACTCACTTAACAGATTGATGAATGGCCAACTGTGTAGTGTAGTATAGCTTGCCGTAACGTAGCATAGTGTAGTGTAGTGTAGTGTAACATAGTGTAGTGTAGTTTAGTGTAATGTAGTGTAGTGTAACATAGTGTAGTGTAGTTTAGTGTAGCGTAGCGTAGCGTAGCGTAGTGTAGTGTAGTGTAACATAGTGTAGCATAGTATAGCGTAGTGTAGTGTAGCTTAGTGTACTGTGGAGTAATGTAGAGAAGTTACGCGTAGTGTTGTGTAGTGTACTGTAGTGTAGCTTAGTGTACTGTAGTGTAGCGTAGCATAACGTAGTATAGTGTACTGTAGTGTAGCGTAATGTAGTGTAGTGTACTGTTGTGTAGCGTAGCATAACGTAGTGTAGCGTAGTGTAGTACAGTGTACTGTAGTGTAGCGTAGCTTAACGTAGTGTAGTGTAGCGAAGTGTTGTGTGGTGTAGTGTAGTGTAGCATAGTGTACTGTATTGTAGCGTAGCATAACGTAGTGAAGTGTAGTGTAGCATAGTGTACTGTAGTGTAGCGTAGCATAACGTAGTGCAGTGTAGTGTAGCACAGTGTACTGTAGTGTACTGTAGTGTCGCTTAGCATAACGTAGTGTAGTGTAGTGTACTGTAGTGTAGTGTACTGTAGTGTAGCGTAGCATAACGTAGTGTAGCGAAGTATAGTGTAGTGTACGGAAGTGTAGCGTAGTGTACTGTAGTGTAGCGTAGTGTAGTGTAGCATAGTGTACTGTAGTGTAGCGTAGCATAATGTAGTAAGTGTAGCGTAGTGTGGTGTAGCATAGTGTACTGTAGTGTAGCGTAGCATAACGTAGTGCAGTGTGGTGTAGCGTAGTGTACTGTAATTCAATTCAATTCAAGTTTATTTTTAAAGCGCCAAATCACGACAAGAGTCGTCTCAAGGCACTTCACATAATAAACATTCCAATTCAGGTCAGTTCATTACGCCAATCTGAAATAATGTTTCCTATATAAGGAACCCAGCAAATTGCATCAAGTCACTGACTAGTGTGAGTGACTATACAGCAATCCTCATACTACCTGTAGTGTAGTGTACTGTAGTGTAGCGTAGCATAACGTAGTGGAGTGGAGTGGAGCGTAGCACAACGCAGTGTAATGTAGTGTACTGGAGTGTAGCGTAGTGTACTGTAGTGTAGCATAGTGTAACGTAACGTAGAGTAGTGTACTGTAGTGTAGCGTAGCATAACGTAGTGGTGTGGAGTGGAGCGTAGCATAACACAGTGTAGTGTACTGGAGTGTAGCGTAGTGTACTGTAGTGTAGTGTAGCATAGTGTAACGTAACATAGAGTAGTGTACTGTAGTGTAGCGTAGTGTACTGTAGTGTATTGTAGTGTAGTGTACTGGAGTGTAGCGTAGGATAACGTAGTGGAGTGTAGTGTAGCGTAGTGTACTGTACTGTAGTGTAGCGTAGCATAACGCAGTGTAGTGTACTGGAGTGTAGCATAGTGTTCTGTAGTGTAACGTAACGTAGTGTAGTGTAGCGTAGTGTACTGTAGTGTAGCGTAGCATAACGTAGTGTAGTGTACTGTAGTGTAGCGTAGCATAACGTAGTGTAGTGTACTGTTGTCTAGCGCAGTGTACTGTAGTGTAGCGTAGTGTAGTGTAGCATAGTGTAACGTAGTGTAGTGTACTGTAGTGTAGCGTAGTATACTGTAGTGTAGCGTAGCGTAGTGTAGTGTAGTGTACTGTACTGTAGTGTAGCGTAGCATAACGCAGTGTAGTGTAGTGTACTGGAGTGTAGCGTAGTGTTCTGTAGTGTAGCGTAGTGTAGTGTAGCATAGTGTAACGTAACATAGAGTAGTGTACTGTAGTGTAGCGTAGTGTACTGTAGTGGATTGTAGTGTAGTGTACTGGAGTGTAGCGTAGGATAACGTAGTGGAGTGGAGTGTAGCGTAGTGTACTGTACTGTAGTGTAGCGTAGCATAACGCAGTGTAGTGTACTGGAGTGTAGCATAGTGTTCTGTAGTGTAACGTAAAGTAGTGTAGTGTAGCGTAGTGTACTGTAGTGTAGCGTAGCATAACGTAGTGTAGTGTACTGTAGTGTAGCGTAGCATAACGTAGTGTAGTGTCCTGTTGTGTAGCGTAGTGTACTGTAGTGTAGCGTAGTGTAGCATAGTGTAACGTAGTGTAGTGTACTGTAGTGTAGCGTAGTATACTGTAGTGTAGCGTAGTGTAATGTAGTGTACTGTAGTGTAGCGTAGCATAACGCAGTGTAGTGTAGTGTACTGGAGTGTAGCGTAGTGTTCTGTAGTGTAGCGTAGTGCAGTGTAGTGTAGCATAGTGTAACGTAACATAGTGTAGTGTACTGTAGTGTAGTGTAGTGTACTGTAGTGTGGTGTAGCATAACGTAGTGTAGTGTAGCGTAGTGTAGTGTAGCATAGTGTAGTGTAGTGTAGCATAGTGTAACGTAACATAGTGTAGTGTACTGTAGTGTATCGTAGTGTACTGTAGTGTAGCGTAGCATAACGTAGTGTAGTGTACTGTAGTGTAGCGTAGTGTAGTGTAGCGTAGCGTAGTGTAGTGTAGTGTAGCATAGTGTAACGTAACATAGTGTAGTGTACTGTAGTGTAGTGTAGTGTAGTGTAGCATAGTGTAACGTAACATAGTGTAGTGTACTGTAGTGTATCGTAGTGTACTGTAGTGTAACGTAGCATAACGTAGTGTAGTGTACTGTAGTGTAGCGTAGTGTAGTGTAGCATAGTGTAACGTAACATAGTGTAGTGTACTGTAGTGTAGTGTAGTGTACTGTAGTGTAGTGTAGCATAACGTAGTGTAGTGTAGCGTAGTGTAGTGTAGCATAGTGTAGTGTAGTGTAGCATAGTGTAACGTAACATAGTGTAGTGTACTGTAGTGTATCGTAGTGTATTGTAGTGTAGCGTAGCGTAGTGTAGTGTGCCAGGAAAACACCCAATCTTTAGGATCAACGTTCATTAAAAATATTTAGTTTAGATTTTGATTCTTCACAGTTAATGACAATAAAAACTTTTGCAGAAACCGTTTCTGTGCTCTTTGGTAGCGGCAGATTGAGGTGGTACTTGTCCACTGAATTTCCACACCAACACATGCAATCCTACAGACCTCCCTCCTGAACCAGTTTCCTTCCTGAGCAGCAGCATCACCATAACACTCTTTGACATTAGGATTGTTGGATCAGCAGCATACTCGGCTAAGACATCTCTGAAGATGTTTCAAAGGTTGCTAATGTAGCTACTGCCTGAAATTGTCATTTCAACAAGCATCTGTGTTTTCTGTAGATCCTAATAATTGTATGTTATCATTTGAAGTGAGACAAAACATTTGATCTAAAACTGTGAAAGAAGTGTTGAGAGAATCAAAATCCACTAAAATGTTAAAGCTGCTTCTAGCAGCTCATTAAGGTTACTATGGTAACCAAAGTAGGCTATTTCAGGTGAGCTCTGATCATGTGATGTCTTACCTTGTGTTTATGTGCACACAGGATCTCCTGGCTCTAGAAGAGGAACGTACAGCCAAGGTAGATATCAGATGTTTCCCTTTTATCTGACCAGTAGAACCACGTGGCTGACCGTAACTTTCAGGGCTCATCATGGTTAAGCTCCTCCTTAGATTACTCACCTGTTAAAGCCCTAAGCTCCAACCCTAGCCTCCAGGTCAGGAAACCAGAATATTCTAGAAGTTTTAAAGACCAAATATAAAAGATGAGATGATCACACTTTCCAGGCGGTTACACCTGGAATTGTATTAAACGTGTATTATTTTATGTAGTGCCGACAGTCTGGTCACATGTAAAAAGCAGCTGAAGACCTTTTTATGTAAAACAGATTTTCTCCATCTGTGTTGACATTTTCTGATTCTAGTCTTTCATTAGTTTTATGATCTTTTGTTGTTTTTTAGGGTGATTTAATGATTTTTTTGTTAATCTTTGTGAAAAACTTTGTGATTTTTCTTTGTGATAAATGCTGAATAAATAAACTTTACCCCCAAATTCCACTACCTCCGCTCCGCTCCGCTCCGACACGAACGCCGGAGCAAAATTGGTCCCGTTGTAGTCAATCAGAGCAATTCCACTACTGCGGCCGTGCTCCGGCAGTGCGGCGCCGTGCGCCGCCCTCTGTTCCGGCGTCCGGCAAAAATAGAATCGATCCTATTTTCGCCGGACGCCGGAGCACCTCCGCAGTAAATGGACAGAAATCACAACCGCCCAACAGGAAAAGGAGTAAGCACAATTTCCGTATTTCACAATAAATCGATAAACAAAAGGCGTTTTTTGTTTCATATGCACAGATTTAACAACTTTTAACCACTATCAATGGCGGTTGAAGTTTAAATGCACAAAATTAAGCCATAAATACAGTTTCCCCTATCAAAGTAGTCACACTTTGTTGATCCAAACACTGCTGATCTCTACACACAAATGATGGGCAGATTAAACAGTTCATGCCGATGCTTCTCCCACACAACGGGTGTTTGGATCTAACTTCTGCGTTTATGGCTTGGACTGTATCACAAGATCTCGAAAATCCCGCGCATGCTTGTTTGCCCCCCTCAGGTCTCCGCACCGGAGCGGAGCCGTTGTAGAGCGGGTACCAGTAAAAATTGAGTTCGGAAGCGAGCGGCTGCGGAAGGCGGGGGCGGACCGGACCGGAGCGGAGCGGAGGTAGTGGAATTTGGGGGTTACTCAGTTATTTACTTACTTCCTTCCTCACAATGATCGCACAGACCTTCAGGAGAACACCGAGGTGTTACAACTTATATTGTAAAGTGCAGTGATGATGTCACCACTACAAAAACGTCCCTGTTCAGGCCGTAACACTGTACACTAAACATCCAACAACGCTAACCACAGGAGAGACCCGCAGGCCGTGACACAGCCGTCAGGGCCAGAAGCCCTACAGGACTAGCTACGTCAGAGCCAACCTGTACCGAGGCATCAGAGAAGCTAAACGAGAGGAAAACAAAAAACTATCTGGACATTTCAGCAACACCACAGATGCTCAGTCTCTCCGGCACAGCATCCAAAACCCTGTCATGGCCAGGTTCCAGACACCAACGAGCTCACCAGGACAGAAGACAAGTTAGCAGGCCCATTGTCTTGAAGACAGCTGTCTCTAGGATCAACCCCGCTAGACCTGACCTTATACCTGGCGGTGCTCTGATGGACGTCTTCCTGGACCAAGCTTGTTCCCACATTATTTAAAGCCACTGCTATAATTCCAGACCCTCCTGTCCAGCTATAATGACTGTTGGCCCATAACAGCGCTCCTCTCTCCCGGGAGAAAATACCGGAGCCTCTGACTCTGCTTCACTTGCCAGCAGCTTCACCAACCAGTCCACTTCCTCCCCCTTGCCCCCTGCTCATAGGCAGTAATCAGTGTCTCCTCCCACCAAGTCGGCTACCTCAGCAGCACGCACAAAAGACTGACTATAATATCTACTACAGCAACTCTAGATGCGCCTCAACACTTGCATTTTGTTTATTTTTACACTTTTATGTTCATCATTTTGAGAGTTTACATTAACTTTACCTGTACTACACAGGTGAGAGAGAAATAGCATTTACGTGTTTGTCCTGAACATACTTCTAACTGACAATAAAAGTCAGGAAAGAAAGCAGATGAATTTTCTGGCCAGTGAAAGAAAAAAAATGCATTTGTAAAACTGTTTGATATTATTTAACAAGGCAGACAGAAGTAAAATTATTTAAAAGATACTATAATAGTAGATTTGTTTTATTTGTTTTTGTTTCTGCTCCATCTTAATCAGAAAGACCTGAGCAGGGATGATCTGTCTACATGAATGAAAATGGGTCCATTTAGCTGCTGCAGGATGTTTGTTCTGATTCTAGATCAGAGCAGAACTGATGGGTGGAAATCATGCAGAACAGAGCAGGAAAGTCGTCATTTACCCAATGAAACTGGATTTTACATTTGTCATTATAAATGTCAGAGTTGTTTTGCACGTGTCAAAATGTGGGAACGGGTGAAACAGAAGCTACAAATACAGATATGCTTCCTACAATCAACATAACAAACAACGAAGGAGCACCAAACTCTCCTTACTATACCAGTATGGTAAGGAGAGTTTGGTACCATACCATACCATACCATACCATAACATACCATACCACCAAACTACCATAACATAACATGCCATACCATACCATACCATAACATACCATGTATGGTAAGGAGAGTTACCACCAAACTATCATACCATACCATAACATACCATACCATAACATACCATAACATACCATACCATAACATACCATAACATACCATACCATAACATACCATAACATACCATACCATAACATACCATAACATACCATACCATAACATACCATACCATAACATACCATAACATACCATAACATACCATACCATAACATACCATAACATACCATACCATAACATACCATAACATACCATACCATAACATACCATAACATAACATACCATAACATACCATAACATACCATAACATAACATACCATAACATACCATACCATAACATACCATACCATAACATACCATAACATACCATACCATAACATACCATAACATACCATACCATAACATACCATGCCATAACATACCATAACATACCATACCATAACATACCATAACATACCATACCATAACATACCATAACATAATATACCATAACATACCATAACATACCATAACATACCATAACATACCATACCATACCATAACATACCATACCATAACATACCATACCATAACATACCATGTATGGTAAGGAGAGTTACCACCAAACTATCATACCATACCAGGAGAGTTTGGTACCATATCATATCACCAAACTACCATACCATAACATACCATACCATAACATACCATGTATAGTAAGGAGAGTTACCACCAAACTATCATACCATACCAGGAGTGTTTGGTACCATACCATACCACCAAACTACCATAACATAACATACCGTACCATACCATGCCATACATGGTGTGGTGTGGTATGGTACCAAACTCTCCTTACCATACATGGTATGGTATGGTACCAAACTCTCCTTAAATATTAAAAACTATGGAAGAAAAAGCACTGTTGTTTCATTGGTGCTACATTTACGGGATGTTTCCCAACTCTCTTGTGTGTTACTGTTGTCTTTATGTTCCAGGACAGTCCATCAAAATGTTCATCCGTGGCCGACCCATCACCATGTACGTCCCCTCCAACATCCACAACTATGAAGACCTGAAGATGGAGCTGCCCTCAGAGAGACTGGTGCTGGACTGGGTGTATCCTTCCAGGAGTTTGTAGCCATGTGGTCATCCACAGTAGGGCTGTTTTGTTGAGTTTGTGGTTTCAGATTTCACTCAATGTTCAAGGTTAAAATATCCGCTTGTCAAATAAGAAAGTGTTGGATGATCATTGGTCTGTAACATATTTACTAACCTTCACCGAACACAGCAAAGGGAAGCAGCTTCAACCTAGGTGGTTCAGCAGAACTTCATTTTCTTGATAGACAATATATTTATTCTCATCTGAGAAGCTTTCATTTAAAATAAAAGTGCAAGCTTTTAAATGACACAGTTCAGTTTAAATGAGCCATTTTCCTGAACCTATAGAAGCATCAAGTCCTGGATGACAGCAGGACTTTTTCTCCTCAGTGTGGGATTTATTTATTTACAGCAGAACTATTCAATCCTGGAGGGACACTACTCTGTTCACCTGCTCCAACACTCCTGATTCAAACCAGGTCTAAAGCTGCCTGGAAAACATAAATAATGCAGGTGATGGCACTGGAGGACCAGAGCTGAATAGCCCTGAGTTACAGAGTGGAGCCTGTAGCCTTAAGGAGTGGCTACATATGTATTCAATGATCAATAAGATGTGATATTCCATATAAATATGAAATATCAATCTGATTGATCTTTGAATGTTTAATCAGAAGATTTTATTTTCTATTACTTATTCAGGGACCATAAACACACTTCATATTAATACAGACAGAGACGGGTTTATAGTTTATAAAAATGAATTTATTTCTATTTTCCTAAACTTATGATTATACAAGACAAGGTATGAATGGAATAATGGGATGTAACGGATGAAATGATGGGATGTAACCTTTCTTCTGATTGATGTCACCTTGACCCTGTCATGCTAGCTATGGTTACCGGGGACGGGACTGTCGGGACAATTTGTTCTTCCTTCCGACAGGCGAGGCAGTGTATTTCATCGCCTGTGTCATTGTGCTGTATCACATCAACAAACGCACACAACGGCACTATCTCAAGCATACAGACTGTGTCCGATGGTCAGTATAACAAAGTAATCCATCTTAATTCACAGTAATGCTATCTTAAAGAAATTTGTGGAAAAACTGTAAAAAACGTGAAATGGTTAAAATGATCTTGTAAGATTGAAAATCTGTTGAGAAAAACAAACAACCAGAGGTCACATACTCCCACACATGAGGGATAGCTAAAAATGAATGAATAACTGTGTTTAGACTTTTTTTAATAGGTTTGAAAGACGGCAGTAAATGATATGACCTGCACTGGTATTCCCGTCGTATACCTTATTCCCGTCCCAGTGTGAAAAATGCCACCTACTTCTGGTCCAGCGTTTGTTTTCATAAAGACCGTAGATGGATGATGCGATGACAGATCTACGTCACCCATCTTGACTCGCCACGTGAAAAGCTGCTGTTTTAGGAAACAGCAGAGATGGTCCTGGCTGGTAGAAGCTAACTGTTAGCATTAGGGATCATTCGTGAGGTTGAGAGGTTCTGACTAGATATAGTCGGACTCAACTCAACGCATGGCTCGGGCTCTGGCTCTGGAACCAGTTTCCCGTGAGAGGGGTTGGACTTTCTACCACTCTGGAGTTGCTCCCACTGAGAGGCGCCGAGCAGGGGTGGGCATACTAGTTGCCCCCCATCTTGGTGCCTGTATGTTGGGAGTAACCCCAGTGAATGAGAGGGTAGCCTCCCTCCGCCTGCCTGTGTGTGTGTGTGTGTGTGTGGGGGGGGGGGGGGGGTCTGACTGTGGTCTGTGCTTATGCACCAAACTACAGTTCAGACTACCCACCCTTGTTGGAGATCTTGGAGGGGGTGCTGGAAAGCGCTCCTTCCGGTGACTCCCTCGTTCTACTGGGGGACTTTAACGCTCACGTGGGCAACGACCGTGAGACCTGGAGAGGTGTGGTTGGGAGGAACGGCCCCCCTGATCTGAATTCGAGTGGTGTTTTGTTATTGGACTTCTGCGCCAGTCGTGGATTGTCCATAATGAACACCATGTTCAGACATAAAGGTGTCCATATGTGCTCTTGGCACCAGGATACCTTAGGCCGCAGCTCGATGATCGACTTTGTTGCTTCATCTGACCTGCGGCCGCATGTCTTGGACACTCGGGTGAAGAGAGGGGCGGAGCTGTCAACTGACCACTACCTGGTGGTGAGTTGGCTCAGAAGGTGGGGGAGGATGCCGGTCAGACCACGCTGGCCCAAACGTATCGCAAGGGTCTGCTGGAAATGCCTGGCATAGTCTCCTGTCAGAAGGAGCTTCAATTCCCACCTCCGACAGAACTTCCAAAATGTTCCAGGGGAGGCAGGGGACATTGAGTCTGAATGGACCCTGTTCCATGCCTCCATTGTTCAGGCGGCCGACCGGAGCTGTGGTCGCAGAATCGTCGGTGCCTGTTGTGTTGGCGATCCCCAAACCCGCTGGTGGACATTGGTGGTTAGGGATGCTGTCAAGCTGAAGAAAGAGTCCTATCAGGTTGTTTTGGCCTGTGGGACTCCAGAGGCAGCTGACGGGTACCGGCAGTCCAAGCGGAACGCGGCTCGGGTGGTCACCAAGGCAAAAACCCGGGCATGGGAGGAGTTCGGTGAGACCATTGAGCAAGACTTCCGTACGGCTTCGAGGAGATTCTGGTCCACCATCCGGCGCCTCAGGGGGAGAAAGCAGTACACTACCAACACTATCTATAGTGGGAACAGTGTGCTGCTGACCTCTACTCAGGACGTTGTGGATCGGTGGACAGAACACTTCAAAGACCTCCTCAATCCCACCGACACGTCTTCCAGTGAGGAAGCAGAGTCTGGGGACTTTGGGTTGGCCTCTCAAATCTCTGGTGCTGAGGTCACTGAGGTGGTTAAAAAACTCCTCTGTGGCAAGGCTCCAGGGGTGGATGAGATCCGCCCGGAGTTCCTTAAGGATGTTGTGGAGCTGTGTTGGCTGACGCGGCTCTGCAATATCGCGTGGACATTGGTGGCGGTCCTGCTGGACTGGCAGACCAGGGTGGTGGTCCACTTATTTAAAAAGGGGGACTTCAGGTTGTGTTCCAACTACAGGGAGATCACACACCTGAGCCTTCCTGGTAAGGTCTATTCAGGGGCTTTGGAGAGGAGGGTCCGTCGGATTGTTGAACCTCAGATTCAGGAGGAACAATGTGGTTTTCGTCCTGGCCGTGGAACACTGGACCAGCTCTATACCCTTAGGGGGATCCTGGAGGGTGCGTGGGAATTTGCCCAACCAGTCTACATGTGGTTTGTGGATTTGGAGAAGGAGTTTGACCACGTCCCTCGGGGGGTCCTGTGGGGGGTACTCCGGGAGTATGGGGTACCAGGCCCTCTGATACGGGCTGTTAGGTCCCGTATGACCGGTGTCAGAGCTTGGTCCACATTGCCGGCAGTAAGTCGGTCTCGTTCCCAGTGAGAGTTGGATTCCGCCAAAGTTTCCCTTTGTCACCGATTCTGTTCATAACCTTAATAGACAGGATTTCTAGGCGCAGCCAAGGTGTGGAGGGCATCCGTTTTGGTGGCCTGAGGATCAGGTCTCTGCTTTTTGCAGATGATGTGGTCCTGTTGGCTTCATCAGAATGTGATCTTCAGCTTTCGCTGGAGCGGTTCGCAGCCGAGTGTGAAGCAGCTGGGATGAGAATCAGCTCCTCTAAATCTGAGACCATGGTCTTGATTCGGAAAAGGGTAGAATGCCTTCTCCAGGTCAGGGATGAGGTCCTGCCCCAAGTGGAGGAGTTTAAGTATCTCAGGGTCTTGTTCACGAGTGAGGGAAAACTGGAGCGTGAGATCGATAGGCGGATTGGTGCTGCATCTGCAGCGATGCGGGCGTTGTACCGGTCTGTCATGGTGAAGAGAGAGCTGAGTCAGAAGGCGAAGCTCTCGATTTACCGGTCAATCTACGTTCCTACCCTCACCTATGGTCATGAGCTTTGAGTAGTGACCGAAAGTACGAGATCGCGGATACAAGCGACCAAAATGAGTTTTCTCTGAAGAGTGGCTGGGCTCTCCCTTAGAGATAGGGTGAGAAGCTCGGTCATTTGGGAGGGGCTCAGAGTAGACCCACTGCCCCTCCACATCGAGAGGAGCCAGTTGAGGTGGCTCGGGCATCTGGTCAGGTTGCCTCCTGGACGCCTCCCTGGTGAGGTTTTCCGGGCACGTCCAACCGGGAGGAGACCTAAAGGTAGACCCAAGACACGGTGGAGGGACTATGTCTCTCATCTGGCCAGGGAACGCCTTGGGATTCCCCCGGAGAAGCTGGCCCAAGTGGCTGGGGAGAGGGAAGTCTGGGCCTCTCGCCTTAGGCCACTGCCACCGCCACCCGACTCCGGATAAGCGGATGAAAATGGATGGATGGATGGATGTGATTCAGATGTTCTGAAACTCAAATAAAGAATCCAGTGTCTGTTTTGAGTTAGCAGGAAGAGGCTGCAGAGCTGCTGCCAATCCCCTCCTTCACATAACCCCATCCCACAAGTATCTGACTGTTGTGTTGTCAGTGTTAGCGGTTTTACTCTTGAACCTGGAACACCTTGATTGGATCGGAGGGATGTTGTTGCACTTTACCAAGCTCGCACAGACACATGGAATTATCTTATGCATAATTCAAATAATGCAATATCCCACGTTTGTAAACACATTTAAAAACACTTGGTGCAAATTGTTGTGTTTATTGTTTTATTGTGAATGTTGTTACTACTTCTGTGCATCATGACTGACTCATGTCGCTCATATTCAAGCTCAAGCTGTCTCAGAGTCATTCGTGTCCTTGTGTCAGACGCTCCACCCTCCTTACCTGCTGGTGTTGGCTGGAGGGAATGGTGGTGCCCGTTTACGGCAGCCTCGCCTTCGTCAGTGCGTCCCAGGGGAGCTGTGACACATCATGACCATAATCATGACCATGAGGAATGACTGATCACTTTGGTGTCCTTTAACCCAGAATAACCCCTACAGGTCCTTTTAGATGAACACAAATATGTACATCTTGAAACAAACACGTTAGTTTCTCTTGATATAGAGAAATGTTAGTTTTACCAAGAGAAAAATGTTCCTTCTTTCCTAAAGTAGAAACTTTATAGAAGGGACTGCATGAAATGGAGCACATGGTTACATGCCGTTGTTCCACGAACAGGTTTCAAATGCACATGAAATGATTGGATTGTAAATGGAAATTCAGCCGTTCCTGTTGTTTTTAGTGGAGTCAGAAAAAGCAGCCAGAAGCACCTCACTGATAAAGTTCCAGAATCATTTGTTTCTTGTTTATTCTGTTTCTATTTGGGCAAGTTGTGTTCACGTTAAAATGTGTGTTTTCCACAGCCTGACCCTTCATCCTGACAAAGTACGAGTGGCATCTGGCCAGACAGCAGGCATGGATAAAGATGGGAAGGTAACTGGAGAAACACCCGGTCTTCCACAGAAATAAACAATAATGAACAAGAGTCTGCTTCTAGACCTGCAGAAAGAGAAAAGAGAAAAAATAAATGAGTGAAAAAATAAATAAAAAAAATGGGACACACAAAAATACAACAGAAGCAAGCTATCACTGCGTCAACTTGAAGAAATATACAATCAACATTGTTTAACTGAACAAACACACGATAATAAATCATAGTGCATTTAGTGGCAGCGACAGCCTTAAGACATGTGTTGAACGTACCCAAGCCCATACTTATGAGAGCACCATGTGAGCACCTGTGTGTGTACACGTGCTTGTTTATGTAAGGTTTCTCTATAGGAGCGTCCAATAGAGAGTGTGAGGGGCCACAGATCTGCCCCCCAAAGATGTGTAGGAGACGGAGGGAGCTCCAAGTCCCAGAGATCAGGCGCTGCCCCAGAGCACAGGAACCCCAAGGAGACTGCAACCAGAAAGGCCCCCGCCCCCCTCGAGAAGCGCTGAGGATCGCCCCAGGGGGCCACAACCAGCAGCCGGCAGAGTCCCGGGAGATATCAGCGGCAAGCCCACCCCCCACTAAGTGTTTAAGGTGCCAATAAAATTGGGGGGCAGGTTGCCACAGGAATGCGGAAATGGGGTCCATACCCGCACTCCCTGATTTGTCCACCCCCCAAGGTCCTGTGTGCATGTTTGTGTGGTGATGATGTGAGGGAGCAGGAGGAGAGAAATGTGTGGGGATGGGGAGGAATGGCTGGTTGGGCTTAGCCCTCCAGGGAGCCAGCTCCCCCACTGGCCCCAATAGGCACCTCTGTTGTCAAAATGCCACCCAGGGCATGAAGACCCCAGCCCATCTTGCCCGGGCCCAAAGCAGCAGCATCGCAGAGCCTCACGGAGTCCGAGGGCACCAACCCAGCCCCACCCCAGCAGAATATCTACGCCCATCCCTGCATTTGCACAACTTTCAGAATATATAAGACATAGGACATCCAGGTAAGGTTGGGTCCTCCCCCTCTTGGACCTCCCCCTCCCCTGTGATGGGACAGCAGAGGAGCCAAGGTCTACCCGAGGCCCCTGAACCCGGGCCAGGCACTGCTGCTTGTTCCTGCCTTCTTCCTGGCAGCATACATGTCAGGACCCGACCCCCAAGGCTCCACCCAGATCCCCACACGGGGCTGGCCACCCCCACACCCTGAGCCCCCAGGCCTCCACCCAGACTCGCCCAGCTGCCAGGCAGCGACCCATGGTCACCGCCAAGACCTCCAAGGGGCCCCACTCACAACCGCCAGCAGTCCACCCCCTGAGCCAACCCAAGCACCTACAGAGGGGGGCAACAGCCCCCCCAGTCCTAGACACTCCCAGTGAACCCACCTCCAGGGAATGTCCGGATACTCCAAACTCAGACCCTGTCATTTTAAGATACTCCCACCATGCTGTCAGAGAGGTGCTGATACTAATACTTTTGAAGTCTTCATGTTTTCTTATGCTTGAGCTAATAAATGGTAAGTCTGAAAGCTCTATCGTTCTGTTCTATATCTAACCAGGACTCATCTAGTGGTTTATCTTGCAACCATCTTGGTATATATTGCAGCCTGTTGGCTAAGAAATAATAATACAAGTTGGGTAGATCCAGTCCTCCTCTGTCTTTGGTCTTCTGAAGTGTTTTTAAGCTAATTCGTGGAGGTTTATCCTGCCAAAGGAATTTAGTAATTGAGGAGTCCAGAGATTTGAACCAGTCAGCTGGTGGTTTGTTTGGGATCATTTAAGATAAGTAATCTATTCTGGGTAAGACCATCATTTTAATTGTAGCAACTCTCCCCATGAGTGATATTGGTAAGGATTTCCATCTTGCAAGATCATCTTCCACTTTCTTTAAAAGTGGGATGTAGTTTAGTTTGGTTAGGTCTGCCAGCTTGGGAGAGACATTAATTCTGATCTGAATGTTTAGGTTAGGGTATGGATTAGGCACAGTGGAGTCACTAAAATGAATGGAAGTCAATAGAGGTCCACACAAACATATAAGTGTGTGTGTGTGTGTGTGTGTGTGTGTGTGTGTGTGTGTGTGTGTGTGTGTGTGTGTGTGTGTGTGTGTGTGCGCGCCCCCATACTGCAGTGTTGACATTACCTTAAAATGCCTCAGATGGTTTCCTGCAGATCTCGGGTTATTTGTGCAATCAGTTAGTTTTAATGAGGAGGAAAAGGCAATGCTGATTAGAAATAACAGAAAGTTCTACACCATTCATCTGTAGGCACATTTTTCCATCAAGGTTTTCTTTGCAAATTACAAAGTTTGTGTGGAAAATGACTTGCGCAGTTTTAAGACCCTGGTTTGTGTGTAAGCAGGCTTTATAACTGAGGCCCCAGATCAGAGTACTAAACATGGTTTCCCTCAAATTCCGAGCTGTTCTAAATCCACATGATTGTTCAACAGACAGGGCTAATGTGTTTATACATGTTGTGTTCCAGCCTCTTCAGTCGTGTGTCCATATCTGGGACTCCAACACTCTGGTGACACTGCAGCAGATAGGCCTGGGAACCTTCCAGAGAGGGGTGGGGTCACTGGCCTTTTCCTTTGCTGTGAGTTTACCGTACAACTACACACATCACACACAGTATAACACAGCTACACACAGATACAAAAAAAGTAATATGTCATGATGCACACACGCACGTGAAACTTGTTCTCCACATTTGACCCATCTCCTGGGGAAGTGGTGAGCTGCCGACACGGCTGCGCTCGGGAACCATTTGGTGGTTTAACCCCCTGAGAGTCAAGCAAGGAGGAAATGGGTCCCATTTTTAAAGTCTTTGGTGTTTTAACCCATGAGCTCCCAATCTCAGGGCGGCCACTCATACCACTAGGCCACTGAGCTGGTAATTACACAGTTACACACTGATGTATACAGCATCACACTTACTTGAAATTACACTTTACCACCCAGGCACTGTTACATGGAGCTGCACACAGTTTAACTCATTCGCTGCCCGCGTTTCTCACCGTTTTTACAGTTTTTTTTAAGAGTCACAGAACGTTGCGCGCTAGGATGATGTTGACGCCAAAACAACCAAAACAAAGAGTAGACTCACCTCTTACATCAGGAAGAATCCGCGCGTTTCGAGCTTCATCCGTTCTTTCATAATCCATTGTTGAATTGTGATCGGCAGAAGCTTTTCCGGTTCGCGCCTCACCTTTTTTTATAGCAGCGACCCAAAACGATCTCCTAACACATGGATTTTCTGCTTCCTGATCACGTGACGAGTGATGTATGCGGATGAAGATTGGCTTTAGAGCTGAGATGTTTGTTCTCACTGTGCGGGGGCTCGTTCCGACACCCACACAGTAAAATAATGGGCAGTGAATGAGTTAAGAGGAATCGATTTTTTATATTTCACCTCTCAAGATAAAAGTCATGAAGCGCTTCACAAGAGCTAAAAATAAACAATTTAAAATTATTGTACTAGAGAACAGGGGGAGAAAAGGAACATCCATCCATTTTCATCCGATTATCCGGAGTCGGGACGAGGCAAGAGGCCCAGACTTCCCTCTCCCCAGCCACTTGGGCCAGCTACTCCAGGGAAATCCCAAGGTGTTCCCTGGCCAGGTGAGAGACATAGTCCCTCCACCGTGTCCTGGGTCTTCCTTTAGGTCTCCTCCCGGGTGGACGTGCCCGGAAAATCTCACCAGGGAGGCGTCCAAGAGGCATCCTGACCAGATGCCCGAGCAACCTCAACTTGCTCCTCTCGATGTGGAGGAGCAGCGGGTCTACTCCGAGCCCCTCCCGAATGACCGAGCTTCTCACCCTATCTCTAAGGGACAACCCAGCCACTCTTCGGAGAAAACTCATTTCGGCCGCTTGTATCTGCGATCTCGTTCTTTCGGTCACTACACAAAGCTCATGACCATAGGTGAGGGTAGGAACGTAGATCGACCGGTAAATCGAGAGCTGACTCAGCTCTCTCTTCACCACGACAGACCGGTACAACGCCCGCATCACTGCAGACGCAGCACCAATCCGCCTATCGATCTCACGCTCCAGTTTTCCCTCACTCGTCAACAAGACCCCGAGATACTTAAACTCCTCCACTTGGGGCAGGACCTCATCCCTGACCCGGAGAAGGCATTCTACCCTTTTCCAAATCAAGACCATGGTCTCAGATTTAGAGGAGCTGATTCTCATCCCAGCTGCTTCACACTCAGCTGTGAACTGCTCCAGTGAAAGGTGAAGATCACGTTCTGATGAAGCCAACAAGACCACATCATCAGCAAAAAGCAGAGACCTGATCCTCAGACCACCAAAACGGATGCCATCCACACCTTGGCTGCGCCTAGAAATCCTGTCCATAAAGGTTCTGAACAGAATCGGTGACAACGGGCAGCCTTGGTGGAGTCCAACTCTCACTGGGAACGAGCCCGACTTACTGCCGGCAATGCGGACCAAGCCCTGACACCGGTCATACAGGGACCATATCAGAGGGCCTGGTACCCCATACTCCCGGAGTACCCCCCACAGGGCCCCCCGAGGGACGCAGTCAAACTCCTCCAAATCCACAAAACACATGTAGACTGGTTGGGCGAATTCCCACGCACCCTCCAGGATCCCCCTAAGGGTATAGAGCTGGTCCAGTGTTCCACGACCAGGGCGAAAACCACATTGCTCCTCCTGAATCTGAGGTTCAACAATCCGATGGACCCTCCTCTCCAGAACCCCTGAATAGACCTTACCAGGAAGGCTCAGGAGTGTGATCCCCCTGTAGTTGGAACACACCTTGCAGTCCCCCTTTTTAAATAAGGGGACCACCACCCCTGTCTGCCAGTCCAGTGGGCTGCTCTTTGTCTGATTCCTCACCTAGGACCTGTTTGCCATGTGTGACCCTACCAGAGGCAGAAACCCTCAGACAACTTAGCTCCTAGGATTTTGAGACACTCAAGCCCCTCCACCACGGTAAGGTGACAGCCCAGGGAGAGAAAAGGAACATTTTAGATAAAATATGTGAAGGAAGAAAAAATTAACTAAAGGTAATCACGGGAACCCAAGAAAGACAGAACTGGTAGAAACAGCAGCATGAAGAGAATGTGTTCAGGAAGAACGTCATGCCAAAGCCAGCCTGAACAGGTGAGTTTTCAACTGCTTTTTAATGGAGACCACCGAGTTTACTGGTCTCAGGGGGATAGAGATTCTGGGGGCCACAGCAGCAAATGATCTGTCACCTTTGTCACCAATGTAAGATGGTGCTTGTCCATGTAAGGCCCTGAAGACCAGAACCAGGATCTTGAAATGAACCCTGAAGTTGACTGGCAGCCAGTGAAGCTGGAGGAGAAGCGGGGTGATGTGGATGTGTTTGGAGGACTTGGTCAGAAGCCGAGCACAGGCATTCTGAACCACCTGTAGACGGTTCAGGGAGGTTCTGCTCAGACACGTGAAAAGAGAGTTACAGTAGTCTAAGCGTGAGGAGATGAAGGTGTGGAGAACTGTCTCAAGTTCAGAGCGGGACAGAATGGGACTCAGCTTAGCAACGTTCCTGAGATGGAAGAAGGAAGAGCGAACAAGAGAACTGACATGAGAATCCAGGGTGAGAGCTGGGTCAAAGGTCACACCAAGATTCCTGACAGAGGGTTTGGTGAGAGAAGCAAGCTGACCAAGAGAGTCTCTGACTTTGGGAACCAGCTTGTCTGGGGCACAGATGAGGATCTCAGTCTTATCTTCATTCAGCTGAAGAAAGCTCCCACCATCCAGGTTTTGGTAGAGTCTAAGCAGGTGTGTAACAGCTGCAGCTTAGACATCTCATGGGGCTTAAAGAAGATGTACAGTTGGATTATTCCTTTGCTGTCATGCAAGTACCCCCCCCCACACACACACACACACACACATCAAACTGGCCGCATCCTTTCTTATGTTGTAAAGTTTTAGTGAATGTTTGCACAATTTCATTTAGCGCACCGACTCTGATCTCAGTCCAAACGAATAATTTTGTGTAACATGTTTAGTGACCAGTTTGCATAAAACAGCAGATATTTAGAAACACCTTGTTTTTTTGTTTTTTTTTCTGTGATGTTTTCAGGATTCTGGAGCATTTCTGAGTGTAATCGATGACTCCAATGAACACATGCTGTCTGTATGGGACTGCACAAAAGGGACAAAGCAAGCAGAAATCAAGGTAAAACTGAAGGTCACAGTTGCATGCGAATGCTCCAATAAACAGTCTACTGTTTGATGTGGGTCTGTATAGTGATGTACACACATGGAGGTCTTGGGGGGCTTGGTTTGAAATGGCCACAGACAACTTTTTAGGTTTTGTGCAGCTTAAACACCTGCAGACATTATTATCTGTATGTCGGTGTCAAATAAAAAGCTTTAAATTTCACTATAAATGTTTTAGGCCACCTGTGGAAATATTCAGATACTTGGGACATACACACCACTCGCACTTAATTGGCTTTTGAGTGCACAAACGTTTTAATTCACAGGTTTCACAAGCTCCTCATTCTCTGTATCAGTTCCTGGTCACACTCTTGGTCCCATTCCTCCACGGTCAGCGCAGCAGATGGGATGCATTTCAGCAGTACGCCAGCACTGTGCTTAGGCCCAAATGATTTCCTCGAGTCATCAAGAGTTGGACTCATTCAAAGATGGTGTTTTTTTTATTGTTTACACTTTAAAGATTTAGCAGGAAATTCGTTGAAGTAATTGGTGCTTGTTTACCTGAACTAAAACTTGGAGATTTTTGAGGTCACAGTGGAAAAATTTTGTTCAGAAGTAGCTACATGATTTTAAAAAGACATCATGGTTTTAGATGGATTTGTATTGTAGTGTAAAGGCCCTGTGTGAGTCCCGACCCCTGTTAAAACCTCTATCTTCCCGTCACATTGAACTTCTCATCATGATTAATGTGTGTGTGGGCTGGGGAATGGTAAGACCAACTTTGGTGATGTATACAACGGACCGAGTTACACATAACTGGTGCTACTGCACTTATTTGTGGCTTTTGACACCTTGGACCATGAGATCTTGATCTCTAGGTTGGAACGATGGGTAGTCATTTCTTGATCTACACTGGAATGGTTTAAGTCCTATCTGTCCGAAAGAGTGTTCCTGTCAGGTACTATAGATCAAACTACACACTGCTGCCCTGGGGGGTTCCTCAGGGAATGATTCTTGGGCCCTTGCTATTCTCTCTCTACCTTCTGCCATTGGCAAACATTCTTTGCAGGCATGGAATCTCCTTCCACCTGTATGCAGATGATTGTCAAGTTCTTGGGCCATTGCTGTTTTCTGTCTACCTTCTGCCTCTGGGCAGTATCCTGAGCTATCAGAATCAGAATCAGAAAAACTTTATTTATCCCCAAGGGGCAATTAAAAAAAAAACAGCAGAGCAGCATGATGTTGGACATACGAACATTGAATAAATAGGCAATAAGGAAGTAATAAAGCAGCAAGAAGATGGGTAAAACAGAAAAATATGCAAAAAACACTGAGATGGATAAAAACAGTAAAGTATGCAAAAATCACTGAGTAAGTGAATAAAGTGACTAAAGTGTTGTCTGTATCTATCACATTTACGCTGATGACTGTCAACTATATGTAGAAATGGATGAGAAGAATGCGGGCTCGCGATTGGCTGCATGTTTAGATGACGCGAAGGGCTGGCTGGCATCCAACTTCTTAAAGTTAACCGAAAAGGAGTCTGAGTTACTGTTTTTGACCCCCGCAACCACCATGGCTCTCACCCTGTTTGTGACCTTTTAACCCTCAACCCCAAACAGTGTGTGTCAAGTCTCGGTTTAAAGCTGGATGCTGAACTCACGATGGCCCCACAGATAAACTCCGTAGTGAGGTCTTGCTTTTATCAGCTTCGCCGCCTGACTCGCCTCAGACAAATCCTGAAACGGAGGCATTTGGAGTCAGTCATCCATGCCTTCATTACCTCTCGCTTTGACTACGCAAACGCCCTCCTCGTTGGTGCTCAGGTCTCTGCCCTGAATCAGCTGCAGGTCGTCCAGAATGCTGCTGCCAGGTTCTTGTTGAATACACACCCACGTAGCCGTATTACCCCTGTCCTGGCACATCTTCACTGGCTCCCTGTCATTTTCAGAGTACAGTTTAAGTTATTGACTTTTGTATTTAAATCACTCAACGACCTGGCACCTCCCTATCTCTCTGACCTGCTCACTCCATATGTTCCCACGCGCACGTTGAGGTCGGCTGACCTTTTGCTGCTGTGTACGCCGCGGATGCGATACAAATCGCGGGGTGAACGAGCATTTGTGCATGCTGCCCCAAAGCTGTGGAACTCGTTGCCCACTGGAGTTCGGCAGGCTCCGACCCATTTTTACGATTTGGCTTTTAGACAGTGACTCGTTTTATTGTGTCATTATTTTAATGTGTTCTTAGTATTCATCATGTTTTATCTGCTTTTGACTGGTATTTTTATCTTCTGTTTTAGTTCCTTAGAATGGCCGCGTTTTGTTTTAGCCTGTGCAGCACTTTGGGCAGCTCCCATGCTGCGTTTTAAATGTGCTATATAATTAAACTATGGCATGGTATGGTATGGTATGGTATGTCTGCCCATTAAGGCCACTGGTGCTCCTTCTATGTAGCCCCTGATGGAATGTCTCAATAGCTACATTTACATGCACCAAATTTCCATCCATCCATCTTCATCTGCTTATCCGGAGTCGGGTCATGGGGGCAGTAGTCTTGTCGCGTGCACGTCCCATTTGTCGGTTCCGTTAAAACCCAGTTCCGTTAGAACTTATGAGACTGTGCATCTTTCAGGGTTCGGTGGGGATGTTGGTGAGTTTTATCGTACTAGACTCTGGTTTGGACTTCCTAAGTTTAGAATCCATCTTCTATTTTAAGGTAGAATGATATGCAAGACTTGTCCCTTTGTAATAGCCCACTTCTTTTTAATCAATCCCGTTATCTATTGGTTTAGATACTAGGGACGAAGCCCAGCGGGAGGCCGTCCCTTCCGGCAATTGTTTGGGTTATTTGGATTAATTGCGCCCCTATCAGCTTATGTGGGCGGTTGGTAACTATAAAATGATTCTTGTTAGTTGATCAGGCTAACATAGATTTATCAATTTATCTAATTAATCCAACCTCCCAGCGCTGATAGAGACTTTTTCACACTTGCGATCAGAGCCAAAATTAACCTCTAATGTTTTGGTTTTATCATCCTTAAGACATCTCGTTACTCGCGGGAGAGGAAGGAGACAAGCTCCTTTTATCTTAAGGTTTCTTTATATTAATCTGTCACAAACCGTAAAGTAAATCCTGATGATTCAGGAACCTATAATGAATGTGCTTACCTCTGCCCTATGGTCAGGGCTCCCACTGGCCCCTTCAAAGAGGACCTCTTTAAGAATCAGGAATGTAGATTCTTTTTCAAAAAGTTTATTACAAGATTAAAAAATACAAAAATGAGTAAATATAAAACTAACCACTTCCCCCAAGGAGAAATTAGTCCTAACGATTAATTAAGAAATAAGGAGTTGATTTACACAAACTCTGTCTTCGAGCTACAGCTCCTTCTGTCTCTGTCGACTGCCCCAAAACTTGTTCTTGTCTTGACCTCTTCTATCCCAGCTCTGCTCTGTCTCTTCCTGTCGTCTGCCCCAACTGTCTGAGCTCTGCTCAGAAGCTGCTCTTTTATACCCTTCCTGGGCCAGCTTAGACAAGGTAAAAGACACATATATCATTATCTGATGACATTAAAGTCATGGGGTCATTTACCAGCTACACACTTTTTAGCTCAACACAAAACATCTGGTGTCATTATCACTACATGCAGCATTCTACATGAGAGCACAGATCATAAATCATCATATTTGTAGCAAATTGTTGGTCTTCCTTCAGCATTCCTGAGAGGGCTCCTTGATCCAATGGGCTTGTCTTCACTCTATTCCAGTCTTTCTTTTCCCGCCAGAGGTGGAGCCAGCCTGCCTCCTGACCATTTTGCCCAGTTCTGTCCTCTTGTCCCTGCGACCCTTCTGTGACCCTCAGCTTGGATGCTTGTTGTGCAGTTGGGCTCCTGTCTTCTGGCTGCTTTTACTCGCATAAGCCAGTTCAGTGTGTTTCAGTGTGGGTCCAATCTTATCTCTGTGGCCCACCTTTTGACCCCATTTCTTGCCACTGTCTTTGGCATGTGGGGACTGGCAACAGTCTAAGTCGAGAGGCCCAGACTTCCCTCTCCCCAGCCACTTGGGCGAGCTTCTCCGGGGGAATCCCAAGGTGTTCCCTGGCCAGGTGAGAGACAAAGTCCCTCCAACGTGTCCTGGGTCTACCTTTAGGCCTCTTGTGAAAACCTCACCAGGGAGGCATCCAGGAGGCATCCTGACCAGATACCCGAGTCACCTCAACTGGCTCCTCTCGATGTGGAGGAGCAGTGAATTTACTCCAAGCCCCTCCCGGATGACCGAGCTTCTCACCCTATCAAATTTCCCCTATCTGATTTAAATCTTGGTTGATAGGAAATTCCAATTCTCTGTTTACATTGACATTGAAACGATCCGATTATCCCGTGAGTATACATACACCAAGCATCCAATCAGATTAAATGGGTTGAGCATGCACAGAGTTGTCTTTCCCTGGAAAAAAATTGTAAACAAACACCATCTTGTCTGCATGTTTCTTCTCTTGCAGTTTATTTTCTTATTCTCTAGCTTCGTCAATTCACTTATGTTTTTTTTCCCATTATGGACCACTTCTGTTAACCTTCCACCATGTTTTCGGCTTGTCCCAAGCATCTGCAAAGGCGAAAAAACATCATGCTGAAGTTGCACACATGCACAGTAGGCATCATTTTACTCCAGCAATCCGAATGGGTGTGAACGTGGACGCCAAAAGGAATGATGATCGGACAAAACCACCACTCTCATTCGGAATGAAAGTTCATTCCAATCGACCGTATTGAATCAGAAAGTCCGATTGACATGTTTACATGAAGAATTTCTGATCTGATAGGGCATTCATTCCGATTACTTGTGCCTTAGCTAATGATATTAAGAACTGGATGGCAATACATTTCCTCAGGCTGAATGATGACAAGACTGAGATCATTTTGTTTGGGCCTAGTGGTCCCGATAAGATTCCTGACTGCGCCCTTTCCTCCCTGGCACCCTTTAGGAAATCTCTCATTATGAACCTAGAAGTTAGGAAGGACTCTGTCCTTAAATCAGATAGCCAAATAGCTGTGATTGTAAGATCACGTTTTACTAGTTCAGGCGCCTAGGAAAGATCAGGCAGTTCCTCCTGCAAAGCTGCCAAGAGACTGTAGTCTATGTCTTTGTTACATCTAGGCTAGATTATTGTAACCATCCATTATTGGGTGCCACCCAGTTTGTGGTTGGTCACCTCCAGCTGGTGCAGGACGCTGTGGCACAGTCTGCCAAAGGGACAACAAGGTTGGAGCACATTGCGCCAGTCGTGGCATCCCTCCACTGCTTATACTCAGTCCCATTCACTCAGGTCTACCGGTCAAATGCTGTTGGCTGTGCCAATCGCACACTGCAAAAACTAGCGGGAGAGAGCTTTTCAAGTAACAGGACGGCGACTGTGGAATGGGCTGCCCCTACAGGTTGGACAGGTACCTTCCCTCCCTGTTTTTAACTCTGGTTTAACGTTTTATTCTTTGGTTTTTAACGTTGCATGATGTGGTTCGCTGTGGCCCAGGGTTGCCGTTATGTGTTTTGAACTTGCTTTTAGGTGTTGTTTTTATGGGCAGCGTTTTGTTTAGTTTTGAACGTGACTTACAAATAAAATTGTTATGGTATAGTATGGTAACTCCCTCATGCCGGATCTCTAAAAACAATCTTTAAATCTAAGAATTTTACAGCGAAATAATCTCAAAACATACTAATGTCTCAAACATGTTGGAAGAATTTTTACATTGAAACCATAGACTGTGTTAAAAATGGAATGGGCCCTTCGTGCACTAATCCATAGGACTGGTTCCCACCACCGCCCTGTCGCTCTGCCACTGCTGTTAGGAGGCATGAAGAAATATTTTAAGCTAGCTTGTTTTGCAGCTTTGCTATTGTAATTTTAAACCTAAAGTGTTTTTGTAGCGGCCTGTAAACATGTTTATTTCTGCTGTGAAGTTGGCACTTTTAACATGGGGGTCAATGAGAACTGCTATTTTTGTTTCTTCCAGCATTGACTTCACTTGTGGTAGGTAGAGTTTCCCAGTTCATCGAAAGATGGTTTCTTCTTAGCCGCCTGGATGATTGCCAATTTTTCTCCTTTTGAAAAAGCCAAAGAGGGATGTAGTAATTGCTTACAATCTGTTCCGTTTCCATACTTCCTGGATCCAGAGCCAATCATATTTGACTCAGCAGGGTTGCCAAGTCTGCACCGGCAAACTCTGCTGTGCTGGAATTTGTAATTCTGCACTGGCCGACTAAAAGCAGCAGCGTCGTGGAAAAATAAAAGCCAGTAAAAGGAGCAGCCCAGAATGTAATGATTGTAATGGAGGAAGACTACGACGACGATAAACTGTGGTCGATGCTCTATAGTCATGCACCATCAAATACGGTAGCTGTTTAAGGACATACAAGAAATAATGTTCCGCAGTTTGCTTTTGCACTTTGACCCAAAAGTTCCCCTTTTCCCTCTAAACGTTGTTCCGGGATTGACGCCGCTTCTCTCTCTGTGGCAGCCTTGCTGGTTTGGGGAAATGTTGCTCCTTCCCCTTGAGTTGATCGCCCGACTTGCATATGATAGAAATCCTTGGAGTTTATGGGATGTTGGTGACAGTACTTCTACTTTATTCCTGCTGTTAACACCACACCCCAGTATTTAGTTAGACCATTAGGCCTAAAAAAGTTCAGTACTCAGATGTTTCCATCATATTATGTTTCTGTACATTTTCATTGGATAAAGATTTGACTAATGCATCGGGTTTCTTTCCTTTGTAACTGTACGGTGTGTGTAGAGTACCAACGAAGCTGTGTTTGCTGTGGGATTCAGTCCAACTGATAGTAACATCATCGTCACCTGTGGAAAATCTCATGTCTACTTCTGGACTCTCAGCGCGGGACAGTTCACCAAGAAACAGGGCATCTTTGGGGTAAGACATGAACATTTATTTTCAAGATTCATCATCATGGTAGCAAATGTGTTCTCACTGATACTGCTTCACTGTCCTGCCTGTATTGATATGATTACGGGCCCCTTTCCACTGAACCAAGACCACTGGACCATTGAACCACCACATCTCTAAAACTGCGAAAACGTTTTTCTGGAGATCTTTGATCTCTCATCAGGGGACCAAATATTCATGTTTTGGTGTTTTTTTGGATATCTATAAAGACTTCTGGCCCTGGTGATTTCTGAGCATTTGTTGAGAAACCTTAAAGCTGTCGCAAGAGCAGAGGCTGTGAAATGAGGGTCTTCTGCAACCAACCATATATGGAGACAGAAACGTTCAACATATCTTGTAGATGGCTGACTCTAGAACCATTAAAACTGATACAAACTGGAAAAGATCAATGATCACCGAAAGACTGTTGATGTTTTGCTAAGAGATCACTGAGCATTATTTACAGACTACTTCCCTCAGAGACCGTTGTGACCTGGTTCAAAGTTTGATGTAGAGACCGTTCAGACCATTGTGTTCTTTGAAAAGATGGAGAAACCATTGAAAGGTCTTGATGATCATTGAGCCCTCAGCGAAAGATAGTTGGGAGATCTGGACGATGTTTGGTCTTTTGTTGGTTGTCCAGTGGTCTCGGTCCCGTGGAGAGGAAGTTTAAGTACTTTTCAGACACTTTTGTCTCTTTTACGCCAGGGACACACTGGCCAACGAAGCGGCGGGAGGCGAAGCGCTCACGAAATTCGGCCGCTGCTCGCTGCTCCTCAGTTCAGACCAGACGCTTGTTTCTCCGCTCCGGTCGAGGCGCGCCTCATAGTTTTTCTTTTAACCACTTGGCGTCCTCCATTTCCCCTCTGCCTTTTCTCTGCTCTTTTCCTCGACACCCCCCTCCCCCTTGCCTCTGTGTGTGTGTGTGTGTGTGTGTGTGTGTGTGTGTGTGTGTGTGTGTGTGTGTGTGTGTGTGTGTGTGTGTGTGTGTGTGTGTGTGTGTGTGCGTGCGTGCGTGCGTGCGTGCGTGCGTGCGTGTGTGTGTGTGAACTTATGGTGTGAACCAGTTGTTAATAGCTGGCCAACGACTTTATGCCTCTCTGTCCTGTTTGCTCCGGTTGAAAGACACCCAAAACCACACCCCCTTCACGTGGTCACACACACACACAAGTTCGCTCTGTGTGTGTGTGTGTGTGTGGTTTTATGCAGTGTCTGTTTACAAACACATTTGACTATCGCGGAATTGTATTTTGAAATGCTTTATTTTCTTAAATGTACCGGCCTGCCTCTTATGTCGAGGTTTGACTTCCTGCCAGAATTGACGCGGTTCACCCGCGGCTCTCGAAAAAAGTAGAGCAGACGCAGAAACGATCGCTGCACGGCGCGCAGCGCTTCGGTGGCCCATGTGGTCTATTTGGACGTAATTTTCACTTTAGAAGTGGAGGGGACACGGCGGGGGGGGGGGATCTTTACAGTATGCTCTAATGGGAAACAGGCTTCAACACAAACGGTTGGTTTCCGCTTGGTCCTAGAGCTCAACCAGTGTCAATTTAATATAGAGTAATATAGTTTTTGGATGGTAAAAAGTGCAGGGGTCAAAACTTGACTTTGGAAAAAGTGGGGGGGGACTTGTCCCCCCTATTCTTCCCCCAAAATTACATCCATGGGTCTATAGAAAAGGTTAACAAGGGCGCCGGATGAAGGCGGTCCTAATTTTGCGGCGTTTCGGCGGCCGGTGTGTCCCCGGCGTTACTGGGAGGCTAAATGGTAAATATTGTAGAGAGAGCTGAATATATAGGATAGCATAGCTCATTTTAAAATATTGTTTGGATTCATCAGTGCAGACATGAACACATTAGAAGAAGATATCAGAGTGATTTAAAACTGGTAAACTGTCACCGATATATATTTTTATTTGCAGAAATACAAGAAGCCAAAGTTCATTCAGTGCTTTGTTTTTGGCCTCACTGGAGATGTTTTGACTGGAGATTCTGAAGGGAATATCCTGACGTGGGGAAAGTCAGCTGCAGATGTCAAAACTCTTGGTAAAGGAGCCAAAGGTCAGTGCTTCAGACTTTCCTTTTTACGTACCTCTGGGGAGCAAAGCAAGAGTGTCACTGAACAGGGAAACCCATTTCTTACGGTGCATTTGACAATAAAGCTTTGAATCTTGAATATTTGAGTTAGTTTCAACATGAAGACCTGACACGCTACGGGTGGACAATGTGAATACTATAGTTCATTGTATTATCTAAAATATAATAAATAAACTAACTAATAAAACGTTGTAATAGTTCTAAAACAGGTCTGTGTGCTTTCTCACCAGAGACCTTCCAGATAATGAGACAGACGCGCGCTCATGAAGGCAGCGTGTTCACCCTGTGCTCCCTACAGGGCGGCGCTCTGCTCAGTGGGGGAGGGAAAGACCGTAAGATAATCCGTTGGAGTGCTGACCTGGCTCCCGAGACCGAGTGTGAGGTGAACTATACCCGTCTGTCACACAGCTGTCGGGTCGCCTTGTGAAGCAGCTTCCATCTCAGAGGGAAATGTCTGATCTGACTTTTGTCCAGATTCCAGAAAGGCTTGGAACCGTGCGCACTATTGCAGTTGTAGACGAGGGGGAGTTCTTGGTTGGTACAACACGAAACGCCATCCTTAGAGGAACGTTTTCTGATGGGTTTGTTGCCATAGTACAGGTATGTTGATTATACCACCTTTTCATGCATTATTTTCTTTTTGAAAAAATACAATCAATCAATCAATCAATCAATCAAATCAAAGATCCTTTATTAATCCCAGAGGGAAATTAGAGTTTCAGTACACACAATTCAGAGATCAGACATACATGGGCAAGACACATGACAAGAATTGGTGACTGTGGTCATTCGCAACCCTGAGTCGCGCTATCTTAATAGAGATAAGAGGGTTACATGAGGATTGGTTCAGGTGGAGGGAAAAAAGGCACTTCAGAGCAGGAGGGCAGCTTTGCTCTGCAAAAAAAATAACCCACCCCAAACAGATATGCAACAGACTTCAGACAACACCACATAAGTGTCCACTAGGTGGGGTGGTGGGTTGGGACTATCCCCACTTCAGTTCCTGCAGCCACGATAAGCAGCACATGTCACCTCAGTGTGGATAGGGGGAGGAGCATTGAGGGTTGGAGGGTTGCAGTGACCCTGGAAAGTTTCAGCGGCCTTCCCACAGTCCCGCCCAGGCTGGGAAAGGAGACAGAGTTGAGTTGCCATAGCGACGGCACATTCCACATATCTTCTGAGGGGGGAGTTTTCGTTGGAGCCTTGCAGGCTCAAGGGCGCCAGATTCCGATTAGAAATTGTTTTGGGGCTAGACAGAGATGATTTCCTCTCTGTCTTACAGTTTGTTGGTCCTCAACCTCTCAAAATCCCAATAATGGACATTAATCTATCCCAATCCGTGCTGATTCGTCCATTCTCTCCTTGATTTTACTCAGACATGCTACATCTGGTTTACTTCATTTAACTTTGAGTACGAGTAGTTAACTCCATAACTAAATATGTAAATACAAATAGATGCTCCATGTTTCAATGGAATATGTTTGGGAGTATTTTTAAAGCCTGCTGTTAAAGCTGTTGTAGCAAATCTGAAAAGCTAGGTTCTGAATGCAAACAAGGTCAAGGAACGTTCACCCCTCACCTCGGGTGTCATCCCTGAGGCGCTTCTGCCGGAACTTGAACCAGGAACCATCATTTGTCACCGTTTTCTGGGTCCAAACGTCTCTTGTTGTCTGGGACTTCAAATGGTACTTTTCTTTTTAGGACTCTGGTAGTTTGTCCTGAAGCTAAAGTGGTAGCAGCTGCCTGTTTCTCCTTCTCTGATGTTATTGAGAGGAGAACCTCTCACACCGGTGGTGTTCTGTTGCTGAATGCGCGAGTACATAATGAATGGAGGACCCAAGGAAGTGCAACGGTTCAGCGAGACCAACAACCGGATGGTCCGATGGTTTTTGGTCGGAAACGTCTTATTGGTGGTTTTTAGATAAATGTGAGAGAACCAATTGATTATTTTCAGGGTTTTTTTTTATCTCCACAACATGTTTATAGATATGTTATGTTGTTCAGATGCAAAACCTGTAATTTAGTCATAAACAGTTGGCCTGTTTCCATTAGCAGAACTCCAGGGTAGCTCCTGGGATGGGGAACTTGACCAGGATAGGACGTCCCAGTCCTCTCAGCTGTTGTGTCTCCATTCAAATCCAGCCCTTTCAGAACGTGCACAGACGTCAGCGTATCACCACTGCTTTGGCAGTGAGCGATGTCACTGATCAGCCCCAATGAGCGCCCAAAGTAACATTAATAATAATAAAAGCATTAATTTAATAGATGTATGTCATAATTTCATCGATTCAGAGGACAAGAGCAGCTGTGAGATTTGTGAGACACGCCCTGTTAATTAAGTCTGTGGGGGAATTTCACCTTTTTTCCAAAAGCTGTGGGGGAATTCCAGAGTTTCCCGGTGCCGGGAGTTAGATTTGAAATGCGATCGGTGCTTATTGATTTTTTTTTGCTTCCATTCTGCCTCACCAGCTTGTGTGTGTGTGTGTGTGTGTGTGTGTGTGTGTGTGTGTGTGTGTGTGTGTGTGTGTGTGTGTGTGTGTGTGTGTGTGTGTGTGTGTGTGTGTGTGTGTGTGTGTGTGTGTGTGTGTGTGTGTCTATCAGGGTCATGTAGATGAGATGTGGGGTCTGGCTACACACCCCTCTCAGAACATCTTCCTCACCTGTGGCCATGACAGACAGGTGTGTTTGTGGAACACGGAGGACCACAGTATGGACTGGTGCATCACACTGGAGGTGACACTCTCAGCTCTCACTCCACCTGACATTTTTAACTCATGCAAACCTAAATTTTGTCAGCAGGGTAAACAATTATTTTTCTACAAAAATAAAAAATAATCAATAAAAAACAATTTGAGAGATTAAAAACTGGACTCTTAATTATTGATTTTGTCTTCATATCAATCTTGTCAAAGTAAAGTGAAACACTTGAAGTATCTGATTATTTTACTGGTCTGAATGATGAAAATACGATAGCGTATTCCAGAGTTGACGTCACCGCGCCAGTGGGTGCTAACGCTAGAACAGCAAACCGCATTTCCAATTGAAAAAGCACGTACAGAACGCTTGGATGTAGCTAACAGAAACTCTTTACTCACAGTGCTCAAGTAACATTTTCTTTTTATACTCTTAGTTTATTATTTGTGTCACTACTTTTTACATACCACCCACCTCTGGTCAAAAGCCCTTTTGGTCCACGATTGGCTGCTGTTTGGTCGAGTCGCTTTTCTGGACTTCTTTGTTTATTTTACTGCCTTCTGGATAACTCCCCAGTGAGTCGTGGAGGATGGCTGCTTATACTGAGCCGGGATTCTCTGGAGGTTTCTTCCTGTTGAAAGGGAGTTTTCCTCTCCACTGTCGCTTTATGCTTGCTTAGTATGAGGATTGCTGTGTAGTCAGTGACTTGATGCAATTTGCTGGGTTCCTTATATAGGAAAAATATCTCTGATTGGCTTAATGAACTGTCCTGAATTGGAATGTTTATTATGTGAAGTGCCTTGAGACGACTCTTGTCGTGATTTGGCGCTATATAAATAAACTTGAATTGAATTGAATTGAATAACTCCACATCTGAGAGTGTTGCTAGTATCAGCTCGTTATTCTCGAATGTAGGACCTTTCCCACCAGCAAAATGTATACAATGAATATACGTGCACCCCATGATTTGCCCCGAACTGTGAAAATCTGCTCTTCCACATAAACACTGCCACCGCTTTGCTTTGTGCGTCTGTAGCTTCCAGCTGTTTCATGTGATCATGTAACTTACCCCTCCTTTCCACCGGAGCCGTTACTGCAGCAGCACGTCATAGCTGCTGATAGGAACCGCTGTGGTCAACGGAACATTTTTCACCGGAGCTGTCAGCAGCGCGAGTCGGCCGCCCCGGTTCTATTTTCTACGTGCAACGCCCAGGGGCGGATTCAGGACTGGAGAACATCCGGGGCTTAACACAGCACACACACACGCGCGCACACACACACACATGTGACACGCACTAGTCAACATCATATTTGTCTTGTACCACATAATTTTTAATCTGAAGCTACATATTCAGCATATTCAGGGCAGAGTATTGTTCCTGTTAGTGTTTAGTGTGAGATGATAGTAAATATTCCCTTTCTTTCTCCAACAACGTTACCTGATAGTAAGCTAACTTTAGGCAAACCAGCAGCACAACAAATATTTTCAAATAAGACTCACAAACTTGAGTCAACACCAGTCTCATCAAAGCTGGGGTTCTGTCGCCGTACTTTTTGTCTAAAAAACGTCCTTATGTCCATCTTCACTCATGCGTTTCAGGCAGAGACTGTAGAAGAAGCCGGCTACTGAAGGCCTTCTTCTTCAGTGGTGGAGGCTCAGGCAGGCTGTATACAAACTACTGCTAGCTGCTCCCTCTCTGTTGGACTTTGGTACTGCATGTTACTTCCGCTTTTTAGATCCGGGGCTTTCTATGAAACATCCGGGGCTTCAGCCCAAGTAGCCGGGCCTAACGCCGCCCCTGGTGACGTCTCTGAAACGGGTCAAGTTCGACATTTTTGGGGAAGGAAAGACAGGAAATCAGACACGGAAACGGAGCGAAGCTTCCCGAGATTTTCAGAATAAAGAACGTACTGCCTTCCGGTTGCTTTACTTTAAAAAAGGTTACTAACTGTGCGTCCCCGTGAGAAGTTATCACCTAGCTAGCGGTCTCCTTTGTTTTTCAGGTCCATATTGGCGATTATAAAACGGACAGAACATAAAACACAAACCTTTTGGAGCCATGTGGTAGTTTTCTCCTGCTTGTTGTTGTGTTTACTGACGAAGTCACTCGTGTGACTTCGTGCTCTGTCGGTGACAGCTGCTCCCCTGCTGCTTCGCGTCTCTGGTAGGAAAGGGCCGAGCAGCAGCTTACGCGAGCAAGGCGTGCTGCTGACGGCTCCGGTAGAAAGGAGGAGTTACCCTGCTTTAGGAAAAGGATTTTAAAAATGTCCCTTTTGACATCCAAAGTCTGGTTAGCACCTCCCCAACAGTTGTGCTTAGTTCCTTCCTGTTTGAACATCTATAGGAGGCAAAAATACAACTATGAGACGAGCAGAGCGACTCAAACCCATAGGCACCCATGCATAACACACTCGTTTGTCTAGGGCTACATCCCACAATGCATTGCAACGTTACATCACTAATTTTAGCTTCTGTAGAACACGCTGTTGAATGCACTTTCATTGCAGATTTCATTTGAGAAAAGTTGCAACACAAACTAAAGATTATTCAAACCTGATTTTTGTTTGTTTAGGAAAATGTAATTAATACTGTTCACTCGTTCCGTTTCCACCCATTTAAACTGATTTCTTCTCTACCAGCTTTAATTAATACAGACAAAAATGTGTCTAAATTATCATTTTGGCCCGGCATGGTGACCTTTGGTAGCCGAGCATTATGATGGAGGAAAAAACTGCTTCTTACATACACAACTATGAGGTTTAGGTGGGAAGCCCCACCATCTTTTGGAGCCCAAGTCTCCTCCCCTTCTGGTTAGCTCTTGGGTCCCCTGAGTGAAAAAAAGTAATGCAAGTGACAGAAGCTACTTTCTAACCGGCTTTGCCTTACGCCCTGAATCACACATATACGTTGCACTTTAATTTAATTGAAAAGCATTCGTGAATTTCGACTGTCACGTACTTTGAAATTTGTTAGTTTGTAAAAATCCGAATCAAAAATGACTTCTAAGACGTCTCTGCAAAAAGCGAACTCACCACATGGTCGGATTGTTTTCTTTGGTTTTCTCCACATTTAATGCTCCTTCTGTCATCCTGGAAGAAAGATTTGAAGCTCGCTAAACTCACAGCCGTAGTCTTCTCCGTGTCCGTTTTGACGACGTCAATGTGGTGAAACGCATTTGTAGTTCTAAACGTATTTTCACACAAAACCAAAAGTTACTTTTGCCGCCGTTGAAAAATAAGTTCTTTCTTGGCATCAAAATGTGTCTTTAAAATTCACGGACACCGAATGTGATTTCCCTGGCACATATCTCATGGAAAACAGCTTTAGTAGCCCCACTGACTATGCTGATGACACCCAGCTGTACATTTCCTCCAATCAAAATGCATCCCTTCCACCAGTCTCCCTCTCTAACTGTCTATCTGAAATTAGATCTTGGCTCTCTCAGAATCTACTTGAACTAAACAGCAATAAAACAGAGCTCCTACTCATTGGCACCGCTTCTGCTTTAAAAAATTCTCCCAATTTCTCGATCAATATCGACGACTCCACAGTTCACCCATCCTTACAGGTAAAAAGTCTTGGTGTCATACTAGATGGTACACTTTCATTCCAATCTCACATTAACCATGTTACTCGAGTCGCATATTTCCATCTTCGCAATATCAACAGACTCTGTCCTTTTCTCACGCCTCATGCTGCTGCAATCCTCGTTCATAGTCTCATCACCTCTTGCATTGACTACTGTAATTCCTTTCTGTTTGGTCTCCCAACTAAATCCCTTCATAAACCCCAACTTCTCCAGAACTCTGCAGCACGCGTCATTACTGGGACCCCCTCAAGAAATCACATCACTCCTGTTCTTAAAAACCTACACTGGTTGCCAATAGAAACCAGGATCATATACAAGATCCTACTACTTACATTTAAATCTGTACATAGTAAGTTACATAGATAAAGTGGAGCCATGCTAACTATTGCAACCACTTCCCGATCTCTTAGATCCTCATCTAAGGTCTAAGATCTTAGGGGCAGCAGTAGCTCAGGTGGTAGAGCGGGTTGCCTCATGATCGGAGGGTCATGGGTTCGATTCCAGCTCCCGCCAGGGGTATCCTGCTGTTGTGTCCTTGGGCAAGACACTTCACCCAACTTGCCGTCTTAGTGGTGGTCAGAGGGGCCGACGGCGCCAAATGGCAGCCTCGCCTCTGTCAAACCTCCCCAGGGCGGCTGTGGCTACAAGTAGCTTACCGTCACTAGCAGTGTGTGAATGTGAGAGTGTGTGAAAGCGTCTTTGGGTGTCTAGAAAAGCGCTATATAAGTTCAATGCATTATTATTATTATTATTATCTGCGCTTCATCTGGTTCAACCTCGAGCTCGCCTTACCACCATGGGGAGCAAAGCTTCCAGTTGCTCTGCTCCCCGGCTCTGGAACTCACTTCCCTCTTCCATTAGAAATACGGACTCTTTTCCTTTATTTAAGGCACACCTCAAAACCCACTTATTCAAACAAGTTTATTCCCTTTAGACCTAGACTTTAGAACTGTTTCGAATTTTTATGCATCTTGTTTGTTCTTATTGCCCTCTCTAACCTCTGTTTTTTTTTTGTTTTTATCTTTGTAAGGTGACCTTGGGTTTGAGAAAGGCACCCTCAAATAAAATGTATTATTAGTGTTATTATTATTAGAATTATTTATTTGTAACTGAAACTGCTGAGTTGGGGTTTAAATGAAGTTTGAGTTTGTTTGATTTTAGAAACCTTGGACCTTAGTGAAACTGGGGTTTTTCTCTGCAGGAGTATGGACTGTGTGCTGATTTCTGTCCCAGTGGATCAGTGGTGTCCGTCGGCCTCAGCACAGGAAGGTCATGCAGCACGATGTTTCTGTGATCAGATTTCAAGCTACCTAACCTAAGAGTCTGCCTTACTTTCTACAAAGTTCACCTTATCAAAGTGAATGTTGTAAAATATGCTTTTAAAATTGCCAACATTTCAAAGAGATTAGTTCATATTCTGGTTAACCACTCCTTTACTGTTACTACGAAGAGATGCAACTCTGAAGAAAACAGAAAGAATTAAGTTGTCTGCATCCAGACTTGTTGACCCGCTCGTGTCCTCTTCACCCTGACAGGTGGGTGGTCCTGGACCTGCTGACCAAGGAGGTGCTCTCTGACTCCACTGATGGGAACGAGCAACTGTCTGTCATGAGATATTCACCTGGTCAGTGCACCACCTGCTCCCAGTAGAAAGACCCTGATCCTTTCAGGTTCAACATGCTGCAGTGACTGGCTTTAAAATACAACATGTTGTTAAAACACATAAAATTTGAATCATTCTAAATTCAGTATATTTGACTTTTTTACACATTTTAAAGGTTGTGTCAAATACAGACTCAGGTGCCAGGATTAGGTCTTATTCTGCTATTGTTATTTTTTATTTCAGTAGAAACATTTTAAAATGGACATATTATGCAAGAGTCACCCTTTCGAGTCCTTTTGTGCTCCCACGTGGGTCTGTCCTGCCTCTATAAACACTGTGAACATGAAAAAGACCTGTCCACCTGTTTTCTGTCAGTGTTTGGTTCCTAAAGCAAGC